AAAACAGAAATTTCACAGTCAAAAGTCAACGAAGTCAAAAGACTACAAGAAACCAGGAAATCCACAACACAAGACATCACAGAATGATAAGTGTTACAGATGTGGAAGATCCAAGCATAGCCGAGATGAGTGTCCAGCAGCATCTGCGAAGTGCAGGAAGTGTCAGAAAATAGGACATTTTGAAAGACTTTGCCAAAGCAAACGTGTTTTTTCTGTAAATGCTAGAAATGATACTAATCCAGAACTTATATTTCTAGGCACTGTTTCAGGAGATATTAATAATATGTCTTATGCAAAAGATTTGTTTAAGGTTGATGCATATGTAGATAAAGCTCATGTAGATTTTAAGATAGACTCAGGGGCAGAGATCACATCTATTCCTGAAAAAGCTTATGATAGAATAAGATCATTAAATCCTAAGATTAAGTTAAGTAAGCCTAACAAAGTATTATATGGCCCTAGTAAAGAGGTATTATTTGTTATAGGTATGTTTTCTGCTAATATAAGCACAGGTAATAAGTGTAGTAAGCAAGATATTTTTGTTATTAAGAATTTATCTACAGCTCTTTTAGGTATACCTGCCATATTAGATTTACATCTTTTAGAACGCACTGATAATAATATTAGTAGCAGTTGTGATAACTCTAGTTTTAAATTAGATAAAATTGATTTAGGCACAAAATCACCTTTTGTTGACAAATATCCAAAATTGTTTACTGGTTTAGGGAAACTAGAGGGACAGTACACTATTAGATTACGTCCAGATGCAGTTCCTTATTCTGTAGTTACATCTAGAGCAGTTAAGCTGCCTCAATATGAAAAACTTAAAACCGAGTTGAAACATTTGTTAGACACTGGTGTAATTTCTAAGGTTGATAAACCGACTGATTGGTGTTTCCCAATCGTACCAATTGATAAGGACGATGGTCGGATTCGTTTGTGCGTAGATTTTACTATGCTAAACAAAAATGTTTTAGTTGAAAATTATATGCTCCCAACTGTTGAAACTACATTGGGTCAATTATCGGATGCATG